AGATGTTGGCAAGGATGTGGAGAAGGGGGAACCCTCTTCCACTGTTGGTGGGAATGCAAACTGGTGCAGCCTCTCTAGAAAACAGTATGGAGGTTCCTGAAAAGGTTGAAAATAGAGCTACCCTATGACCCAGCAATTGCCCTACTATGTATTTATCCAAAGGATACAAACATAGTGATTTGAAGGGGCATATGCACCCCAATGTTTATAGCAGCAATGTCCAGAATAGCCAAAATATGGAAAGAGCCCAGATGTCCATTGACAAATGAATGGATAGAGAAGAGGTGTTTATGTATGATTATGTATGTGTGTGTATGTGTGTGTGTATGTATATATATGAATACTACAGAGCCATCAAAAAGAATGAACTTTGGCCATTTGCATCAATGTGGAAAGAACTAGAGGGTATTATGCTAATGGAAATAAGTCAGTCAGAGAAAGACAAATACCATATGATTTCATTCATATGTGGAATTTAAGAAACATAACAGATGAACAGGGAAGGGAAGGAAAAATAAGATGAAAATAGAGAAGGAGGAAAACCATAAGAGATGCGGAACTCTAGGAAACAGAGGTTTGCTGGAAGGGAGGTGGGAGGAGGAAAGGGATAATTGCATGATGGGCTTTAAGAAGACACTTGATGTAATGAGCACTGGGCGTTAGATGCAACTAAAGAATCACTAAATTCTACCCCGTGAAACTAATAATAGAGTTTATGTTCACTAAATTGAACTTAAAGAATCACAGAATAAATAAACAAACATGGTTTAAAGCAAAAAATAGTAATCATCATCACCATCATCATCACCATCACCATCATCATCATCATCATCAGAGTCTCATAGACCTTAGATACCCAGTAGAGGACAAGCAGCCATTCTCACCCTGAGTCGATCTGGATTTAACTCTGAACTCTGAGTGAAAATCAAAACCTCTCTATCATTTCCAACATATCTATTCTTTCTGCTTCTAATGCAGAAAGATGCTGCTGACTTGAAATCTCCAAAATTATTTGTTTTGATTAAAAGCAACAATGAATGAATAACTATGGGGTTCTGGACTAAACACATTATATTTGGCAATTTAAGTCATACTTTCCTATTGGCCAAGTTATCTTTTAGCAGGTAGTTTCATAGATGGGCATTGACTCGTTCAGACTTAGAGGTACGCGGGACATCAGGCCATCTATGCTGTCATGATGAGAGGTGGGGCTTTTACTGGAAACCAAAGGGTAAGGGTTGGAGCCTCAGTGCTCACAGGTTTACATGTGACTGTGTAATTGAGAGCAGTGGGAGGATTACTAGACATATTACTGATTCATGGGAGATTGTGTTAACAGAGGCTAATATCTCACTTCTGCTTAAAATCTCTCAGAATGTCTTCAATGAAGATGGAATACAATAAGAATAAGAAAAAACAACCAAGAAGCTTTTTTTTTTTTTTAATATCTTTTACTGGCCCCTCATGGACTATGGGATGAATTACAAGTGCCTGAGCATGAATCTGACCGTCACCTATATATATACATACACTTAGAGCCTCATCTCTTGCTGCGTCCTGCCCTTAACCCTCAGCTACTGCAATGTTCATCATGTTCTTTCTTATTTCCTTCTCTTTGTGTGCAGTGTCCCCTCCATGCCTGATACTTATTCTGTCCTCTTTCAGCCTCGAGGCCCTTTTCCCCACTTCACCCAACCCCAGACTGGCTCAGGGACATCTCTGCTGTGTCTCCATAAACTCTGAACATTGCACCTCCTTCCATGATTTACTGTTCTTCTGCATCTGTTCCCCTCACTAGACTCCATTCTCAACGCTAGACACCAGTGTAAGTTTGTTGGATAAAATGGATAAAATGAATGTTTCAGGGCATTCTAGAGGTTAGAAAATAATTTTAAGTAACCCGAAAACTGTACCAATCTAATGTAGTATCTACTTACTACTGGAAATGCCTATTAGCAAACAGGAAAGTAGAATAATTTTGTAAATACGTATAGGTAAATGTAAACAGATTCTTCAAATTCTGCTATTACTTTTAATAAGTTGTTGGAATTGTTGGTTCTTTTGGTAAATTTCTTGAGAGATACACCAACTGGGGCTATTTGGTGTTTAATATTTTCTTTGTACTCTAATGCCACATCAGTGAAGAAACTGCATACTCCTTTGGCAAACTGATTCTGAGTGTCTTATTCGTTTATGTTCATGAGATGCACATAAGTGCACTTAATAGGGGAGCCTGAGTGGCTCAGTCACGTAAGTGGCCAACTCTTGCTTTTGGCTCAGGTCGTGATCTCAGGGTTGTGGGATCAAGCCCCACATGCAGCTCCATGCTCAGAGGGTCTGCTTCCCTCCTTCTCCCTCTGCGCTACCCCTCACTCACACTCACTCTCTCTCAAATAAATAATAAGTCTTTAAAAGAAGTACACTTGATGTTTCTTGCAGTGCTTGATAAGAAGGTATTTTACAAGTCTGAGTTTCCAGGGTAAATCCTATTTATGGGATTAGAGTTTTATCCTCTTCTAGCTAATATAATAAAGATTAAGTTAGAACTATAAGTAAAACTTATAGGCGTGCCTGGTTGGCTCAGTTAGGTAAGTGTCTGACTCTTGATTTCAGCACAGGTCATGATTTCAGGGTTTTGAGATCAAGGCCCACTGAGGGTGGAGCCTGCTTAAGAGTCTCTCTCTCCCTCTCCCTTTGCCCTCTGCCCCTGCCTTCTTCTGTCTCTCTCTCTCCCTCTCCAATAAATAAATAAATAAATTATATATATAAATACATGTGTATATATATTTATATATATATAATTCAAGAATAATTACATGTAGAATATGAGACCTTAAGGTTCTATAGACCATTTACCTTTTCACTTTACAGATAAGGAACTGTTGCCCCCAAGGGTAAATTATCATTCCCTGAAAGCATCAGGATAAGAGTCTTACTTCAAAGGGAATGTATATTTTAAAGCAAGAGGAAGTGCATTGAGACTTTACCAGTTTCAAGGAAGAAACGCACCCATGCAGTCTTATTCCTGAAGTTAGAGCAGTGCACAGAGGCTCTTGGTTGTGCCTAGCGATTACATGGCCCCCCCCCCCCCCCCCCCCCCCCCCCACCCCCCCCCCACCCCCCCCCCCCAATGCCTTCCTCTTCCCGCCTCTAGGCAATGAGACTCTGATTGAGTCAGTGATTTGGTTACCAACAACTAAGGAGCATTCCTGCTGGGAAACCTGTGGCACAGACATTAATATTGGATCCTGTTAGTTTTAGTCAAAGTAAGACAGTTGTTTCGGGTCAATACGTAAGGCTTTGTAAACTGTATAGCAGGCTTAAGCAGGAAGAATTCCCTAAACTTCTGCGGAAGAAAATCAGGATTTCAGGTAGGTGTGGGACCTTTGTGCTTCCTGGACCTCACCAGTATGAGGCTGTAAAAGACACTCATATGTATAAGTATGGAATGGGAGAGGGGAACTAAGTCACAGCTAAGCTCAAATTGAGTTAGTTTGCAAATGGAAAGAGTGGTAAATGATCTGCCCTTAAGAAACTATCCATAAATACTATAGCTTTTGGGCAAATCAAGAAACACTATCAACTTCTGTTTGCTTATCTTCAAGTAAAGATGATGATAATACATACTTGCCTGGGGTCCCTGGGTGGCTCAGTTAGTTAAGCATCTGCCTTGGGCTCAGGTCATGATCCCAGGGTCCTCGACTGGGACTCAGGCTCCATGCTCAGCGGGGAGCCTGCTTCTCCCACTGCCTGCAGCTCCCTCTGCTTATGTGCTCTGTCTCTCTCTCAAATAAACAAATAAAAAAATTTTTTTTTTTAATACGTACTTACCAGGTGCCTGGGTGGCTCAGTTGGTTAAGCAACTGCCTTCACAACTCAGGTCATGATCCTGGAGTCTTGGGGTTGAGTCCCGCATCCGGCTTCCAGCTGCACAGGGAGTCTGCTTCTCCCTCTGACCTCCTCCCCTCTTGTGCTCTCTCACTGTCTCTCTCTCTCAAATAAATAAAATCTTTAATAAAAATGCATACTTACCTTGCCTAGTGGCTGTGCATACTAATGATGACATGTGGTAAATGACCATCACTGTATAGGGGCTGAAAGTAAGGTAACTACTATGATTATTACTACTGCAAGACTAAAATTATGCTGTAATCATTTGTACTACCCTAGTACATAAAACTACTTTTACTGCTACTGTTGTTATGTGCCAGTAGTTTGTAACTGAGCCGTCTTCTCTGCTCAGACAACAAGAGAGAGGGCTTTACAAATGATTTGCAAAAAGGTAGAGAAATTATTTCTTGGTGTGCAGTGGTTAAGATCATGGGCTTTATGGGGCTACTATGTACTTCTTAGCTGTGAGATCTTAGACAAATTATTTAACCTTGTGTGCCTTGGTGACCTCATCTGTAAAATGGGGATAATAATACCTCCTATCACAATAAGCTCTTGTGAAGATTAAATGAGATAGATTTACTCTAAGTACTGCTTAGAATATTGTCCAGCATGCAATGAACACTTAATACACGTTCTCTATTAGGCTATTAATGTATTAAATGTGTGTGGGATCCTCATAACTACCTCTTGAGATAACAGACCTCATTATCTTTATTTCAGGCCTTCAAACCCTGAGGCTACAATTTATCATGAGTGGCAGTGGTGGGGCTGCTGAGAGAGCTTCTCTCCCTTCATTCCTTCTTTTCTTACCTCCTTTCCTTTGACACGTATTTATCTATCCAACTGGAAGGGTACACAATAATTCCTGTCTACGTGATTAGAATTTTGGACATCTGATCCCTTTTTCATTTTCTTTTCCCCTACCGCCTCACCTCCATGCCCATGGAGAGTATGTCTTTTGCTACTAGTCTCTAACTATGAGCTGTCATTACCAAAGCCCCAAGTTTTCATTTGAATCTTTATACTTGAGAAATCAATGGGGGTCAAGGAAACAAGAACCAGTGTTTACATAAGTGTTTATTGGACCTTTCTTTATCATCTTTCAGGTCTTGTAGAAATTTGCCTGATGCACCCCCTCGATGTGGTGAAAACCAGGTAAGGTTCTGCATGAACAAGTTTTATTGACTTTGGCTGATATCCAAATTTAGATCTGTCAGAACACTAAATGCTAGAACTTGTCCTAGGCCGGTAGCTTCTCCCAATAATGGCATTTATATTTACTTCTTAAAGAAAACGCTATTTGACAGATAAAATGTGAAAAGGGAAAAGCATTTTTGGATAGAGGTCATCTGAAGGTATACGATATTTTACTGCCTTCACACGACAACCATAAGGTATGATTTGTGGCTAAGTTGGTAAACGAAGTAAATTTATCAAAATGACACAAAAACTAAACTTTAGTGAATTATGACAGCAGACTTTCATTTGGCATTGCATGTAACAGATTATTTAGTATTCAGCATTTTGGTGTGAGATTCCAAAATTTCAAGTAAACTCTTCAAATGGTGCTTAAAGAATTTATTCCTACAACTGTTTGGCAGTGCAAAATGTCGTGTTTCTAGGAAAATGCATTTGCTCTTGCAGAAAGACACAACTCAGGGCAATGTTTTAAATCTATTTACCAAGTGAAAAAAAAATCATGTGGGTTTTATTAATATGATCTCAAGCATTTTTTAAAAAGCTAAATCTGTGGCTGAATTACTGAACTCTCTATTTTCTAAAATTAGAAGCTGTTAGAGTTGAGTCAAAGTTTCCATTTGTTTGCATGTGTAAAACCCAAGAGCAGCATACCTAGGTTGGCGCTCCATAGCACATAGTGCCTTGCAACAATGGCGGTGGAACAACCAAAGTTAGAAAATGCTAAGTGTCAGGCTTATCATTGAATGGACATGTTGCTTAATTTGCCTAAAGAGGCAGCAGAATCTTAAGCTGGGTGCTGAAAGCAAGGGAAAGTGGCTGTATCATGCAAATAATATTACATTTCTAAAAGAGCTAGAGGAGATGAGAAGTTGGCCCCTATCTTAGTCAGCTCAGGCAACTGTAACAAAATACTATAGACTGGGTGGCTTAAGCAACAGACATTAATTATAGTTCTGGAGGCTGGGAAGTCAAGGATCAAAGTGCTGGTCAGTTTGGTTCTTGGTGAGGGCCTGCTACCTGACTTATAAACAGCCACCTTCTTGTATCTTCACTGAGGGAGAGAGGCAGCTCTGCTGTATCTGCCTCTACTTATAAGAGTACTAATCCCATCATTGGGGCTCCACCTCATCTAACCTCCTGACCTCATCTAAACTTAATTACCTCTCCCAAGGCCCCACCCCCAAATACCATCACACTGGGATGAGGGCTCCAATATATGAATTTGGGGAGACACAAACATTTAGTCCAAAACAGTCTCAAATCACCAAACCCACACAGAGAAAGAAAACTATAAACTACTTTCAAATGTAAAATTGCATGTACTACCTGGATCATCTTTGTATAGGGTTCAAAAACAAAAAGCAAAACTCACTGGCATTTCCTTCTTAGATTCCATGCTAACTTTGAAAAGCCAGAATAGTATTGCTAGCCTCGTTGAGGAATAAATTGTCTTTCTTAAGGGTCATTTTCTAAATTCTAAAGTGTTCAAGTGAGCATACAGGAAAAGTAAGAATGATTTAAATAAGATAAGATATTGAAATTACAGTTACTCATTCATTCGGTCACTCATTCGTTCATTCACTTGTTAAGTATTTAGTGTCTTTGGGTTCCAAGCACGCTCTGTCCTCAAAGGACAGATGAGTTGGTATAAATTTTTAATGAGTTAATATAAATTTCAAAAACTGTATTATTTCATGGTGCTGGATTTGAATAGAATATTTCTTAGAATGGATGTGCCAAATTACTGGGGCTTTATATCTTCTTAGTTACATGGATATTTTCAAGAAAATGGCATTCATTGATTGGAATTAGTCATATGCTCTTGTCTAACTTCATTGGGAGCGAGGGGCAGAATATAATTCTTCCAAATGCCCTAAAAAAGAAGGGAATTGGATATGGGATAATGTTTGACCTGCATAACAATAAAAAGCATATTGAATAATCAGACTTATAATCATAGAGTAAACTGAAAGTCCAAAATAATGTGCAATTGACTTTGCAGCAGAAGTAGAATGTGTGAAGATTACGAGTATTTATCACTGGGTAGAACACACAGGTGATAGGGAATGGACAGGACAGACTAGATGCTGAAATCTCTTCATTATCATGTTGGACAGGAGATAACTGTATTTCTAAATAAGATAAACTGTAAACTATAAAAGATAATATAAGAAACCTTGTAACAGTCATTTTAGCAGGTCACTTTCCTTAATGACATCAAGGGCCCTGGATTCTAAACTCTTGCCGGCATTGTCAAAGTTGGGGGGCGCCATACACCAGACCAAACCTCACTTCCTTCACGGTTTCTTTGTGGGCTATTTTGCCTCTCCCTGGATATTATTACTTGAAAGGTAGTACAGTGAATGAATCTGAGTATGGAAATGGGTCATTTTCAACAAAATCTCATGTGCTGAAGTATATAGCAAAATAAGTATTTACTTCTTAGAGTTTAGTCATTTTTGGGGGGGTTCTATTTGTGCCTGATTCTTTCCTTTGTTGAATGAAAGAGAACAGATTCTAAAAATGCATTTCCAAAGTCATACTTTACAGGGATTTCTTTCTTTCTTTTTTAACTTCGTAAATCTTTCTCTCTTTTTAAACTTTGTAATGATCAGTTCTGTTACCCCAGGCTGAGGGCAGAGGGAGGTGGTAGTGACCTGAGCCCAAGGGTCAAGGTTACCTGGTGGAAGCTAGAACCATAGTAGATCTGTCTAGTGGTAGCAGGAGCCCTGGCCATTGCCTGTTTACTGCCTGAGGCACACATGGGAGGGAGAAAAATCCTCCACTTTATCCTTTCTCCCCAGTCTTCAGTCTCCCACCAATGCTTCTATTTGCTGAGCTATGGAAGCCAAGAAACCCAGCCTTGCAGAGGGCAGACTTTCTGCATCATAAAGCAGAGCAGATCAAGAAGGGCACTAGAAATGCCTGAAGACAAACAGAACCAGGACTGAAAAGCTGTCATTTTGTGAGATTTGGAGAAAGAGCTGACATAACCATGCATTTTCTTTTCTTTATTTTTCTTATTGAGATATAATTGACATTTCATTATGTTGGCGGTAGGTGTACAACATAGTAATTCAGTATTCTTTTAAGATTTTTAAAAAATTTATTTGTCAGAGAGAGAGAGCACAGGCAAGCAGAGTGTCAGGCAGAGGCAGAGAGAGAAGCAGGCTCCCCGCTTGAGCAAGGTATCTAACGCAGGACTCGATCCCAGACTCTGGGATCATGACCTGAGCCAAAGACAGCCGCTTAACCAACTGAGCCACCCAGGCATCCCAATAATTCAATATTTTTATATGTTGCAAAATGATTTCTACAATAAGTCTAGTTAACATCTGACACCATACATAGTTACACATTTTTTTTCTTGTGATAAGGGCTTTCAAGATTTATTCTCTTAGCAACATTCAGATATGCAATATAGTATTATTAACTATATCGTCATGCTCTGCATTACATCCCCAGGACTTACTTATTTTATAACTCGAAGTTTGTATCTTTTGACCCCCTTCGTGCATTTCACTCACCCCCTACCCCCAGGCTCTGGCAACCACCAGTCTGTTCTTTTTATCTATAAATTTCTCTTTTTTTTCTTTCTTTTTCTTTTTTTTTCCCCAGATTTCCCACGGAAGTGAGATCATATGGTAGTTGTTTTTCTGTCTGACTGATTTCACTTAGCATAATGCCCTCAAGGGCCCATCCATGTTGTTGCAAATGGTAGTATTTCCTTCTTTTTATGACTGCATAATATCCATTGTGTATAGTGTATATTGCGTATATGTATATATTTATATACAAAATATATACACATATATGTATGTACACACACATACACGTACCTCATTTTCTTTACCCATTCATTCACTGGTGGACGCTTATGTTTCAAGCATGCATTTTCAATTTAGCAAGGTTAATATGCACTTACTCTGCATTTTAGAAGATGATTAGAAGTTATAATTGATTAATTTTTTATGAAAAGATTTTAGGCACTGTGGCACTTGCCTTTCTCTAAGAAATAGTGTATTCTGTCTCACATAAGTGTAGCTCCAGGGATAGACCTAATGTAAGCATAGGCTAGCCACATGCCAACCGCCTTGCAAATGTCCCCACCTTATCATAGCAGAGGAGATTTGGCTAAGCTGCTATATATGTGGCAGTCATGTAGAATCAGGTTCTCCTTTGAGATTCTTCCTAGAAACATGTGTCTACACTCTCTTGTAGTTCTTTTATAGTTTATAGACAAAGGACGCTCTGGTTAAGAACACGTAACTACAGATCACAAAAGACTCTATGCACTTGTATAACCAGGAAGACCGAAGGTAGTTTCTGGTTTTGGACTCCAAGGATTCAAATAAAATAATCAGTCATATCTCATATCTCTCTCATATTCTCTCACTCTTCCTCTCTCCCTTCAGCTTTCCTTTTCCTATAAAGGCTTCATTTGAGGGTCGGGTGCGTCTCTTACTTGGCACCAGGGGGCCCCAGCAGCTTCCAGCTTACCTGGCCTTTGGCATTTGTGTGCACTCTCTGAGACAGGATAGCCTGGAGTTATCCTCCAGGTTAAGAACTCCGGCTGCAGGGTGAGGCAGGCTGGATTCAAATCCTGCTTCTTCAGTTGTTATCGGCGTAACATCAGGTAAGTTACTAAACTTCCCTGTGCCTAAGTTTCCCAAGCTTTAAATGGGAACAATAATGGCGTCTATATCACCATGAGAAATAAATGAGAGTATATACGTCTTTGGTGTTTATATATACATATGCTTACATGGTGTTTTATAATATGTCAGCAAAGGAAAGGGGACTGCAGAGACAAATGGAGTTTGTAAGGCAGTCAGGGAAACACGCAAGGGAGAATAAAAAGTGTGGGAGAGGGGAAATGTTTAATACGGAATCAGGCGGTTTCAAGTTTCCAAGCCGGAAGACTTGTGTTATATGAGCACTACATTTAAATCTTT